AAAATTCAATCAATTGAATTTGCTGTTCTACCTAAATAACACTAGATTTTATATCTAAATACCAATAGTTCTCAATACAAATGTGATGATATGTGTATATACAAATTAGTTATAAGAAACTTTTAAAAATATTTAACTGAGCTCCTTTTAGGCAGAAATTATGTTTCAAGAGAATACTGAAGTACAAACATAGGTTATACTATGTAAGATTAGCACCCCAGATAATCAATCAAAATGAGAAATAGGAATAGGTAGTGAGTCACATTATCTGAAAACTACGAGTCCTTTCAGGACAGCCAACCTAAATCCAAAGATTAAGTAACCGATTAAAATCTTACAATTATGATCAGAATCAAGAATAAGCCTATATTTCTTACCTAATCTCCCTAGTGATTTTCCAAGTACGTTATTACTACTCAGTAGAGTGACTAATTTTGAGCAAAGGAATTGATCATCTGGAAAGTTAAGGAGAAACAGTCATAAACAGTCTCTGTTCAAAACAAATTCAACTGTTTGGTCATTGTTTCTGTTTATTTCTATTTTTATGGAAATGCCTGTTAAATAAGATAACATATATAAAGCCCTTAGCAAAATGCCTGGTCCATAGTTCCCACTTGATAAACTATTATTTTCATCACTGTCAGCCTTGCATTGGACTTTTCTACATCAGAGATGTATGAATGATAATACTCACATGCACAGATCTTCAATCCTGAAGGACAATGCATATCTATTTGTGAAATAATCTAAAGCCCTGTAATGGGTGTCATTAAATCTTGTCTACCTGAGGCAGTATAAATCATTCGGGTAAATGAACCAATTAAAAACCAATTACCAACACTGTCTGATGATGGAAGGCTGAGGAATGGAGGGAAAGGCTGATATGGCCTCCCTGAAGCTGGTAGGAAGACTCTACCCCTGAGGTTCCAGGGAATGGATTTGACAAGATGGTTAGATTGTGGCTGTTCTTCTCAGAGGCATTAACTCCTGCATTTCTTTTAAAAACAAATGCATGCTGGCTAGCTCCAAAAATGAACTGCATTGAGCTAGTGATCCTGTACTTGATGGCTCTCTATTTGATATTTTATTCATTTGATTTGAAATTTACTTGGAGAAAATAACTATCCTTTGAAAATTATCTGAATTTGGGTCTCTGATTTAAGATTCTTCAAATCAGTATAAGCCATATCATTATGACTTCTTTTTCAAGGTGAGAACATTTGTTTAAATCAGATGGGCAGTCTTAATGGAAGCTGAAATCACCATTTCAGTGGCAAATTTATTTGATACAGTTGAGGGAAAATTGAACAGACATTCCGGGGTGGTTATTTTACAATAGGCCAATAATTCATTGCTTCAAATAGATTTTTAATTTTTCATGCATATTTTCAATGGCACAAAACACATTCATATACTAGCTATAAATAAGTATAGAAATCATTTTTGTTTTCATATGTAAGAAAATCAGGTCAATGTTTTCCCTTTATGTATATAAAAAAGAAAACTTTAATCTGCTTTATTATTGATATGTAGTGCTATGCTTTTATCTGTACTTTCTCCATTTCCAGTCATTGTAACATGTTGGCAATAGAAAAACACTGCCTGGGTTTGCCTCCTACATTGGAATTTTCTTCACTTTATACAATTGGATCCTTAATGTGCATGTATTGCCTCTCAACACTGCATTTTATTAGCATCCTAATAATGAAAACAATTCCTCTAAGGCAGTGGCTCTTAATCTTTAACCCACATTGGAATCATCTGGGGTGCTGTTTTAAGGATGTCTCTTTCACTCAGCAGAGGTTTTGACGAGTCCAGGCTGGGGCCCAGGAATGCACACGTTAGCAGTTAGTCATGCTAAGTGTATATGATGCAGATGTCTGATGGTTGTGCTGTGCTGAGCTTAGTCATGTCCGACTCTTTGCATCCTATGGACTGTATAGCCTGCCAGGCTCCTCCATCCATGGAGATTCTTCAGGCAAGAATACTAGAGTGGGTTTCCATTCCCTTCTCCAGGGGATCTTCCTGAGCCAGGTGTCGAGCCCAGGTATCCTGCATTGCAGACATATTCTTTACCATTTGAATCACCAGGGAAGCCCAAGAATACTGGAGTGGGTAGTCTATCCCTTCTCCAGTGGGACTTCCTAACCTAGGAATTGAATCAGAGTCTCCTGCATTGCTGGTGGATTCTTTACCAACTGAGCCGCCAGGGAAGCCCTGTCTGATGGTTATGTATAGAAAAACATTGTCCCTAAACAAGTCCATTCCGGCTTAAAGTAGCAAATCTACTTGGTATTTGTTACCCTCTCTGACCACACAGTTTAGATTATCATTCTTGTCTAAATTGGCCACGCCAATCATCCATTATTCAGTGGAGTTGGTCTGGTTGTTGAAAACATGCATTTTGCTCTTACATTGTTTTCACCAGAACTTTCAGTTGCAAGTATAAGAAACCGATTTGAATAAGCTTAAATGCAGAAAGAAATTTATTTGAAAGGTACCAAGATATCTTATATAACCAAATTCAAGAAACTTCAGGACTGATCTCCAGGACGACTGGTCTATCATTGTCTTGCTTTCCTCTTTATGTTGGCCTTACCTTCTTTTGATTCAGACTGACATGGCAGAGTTTGGGAACATGGTAATGAGCCCCTCCAGGTTTATATTTCTTATATATCTAGAAAGTACTGGGTAACATGACCTATGGTCCAAAGTAAAAACCTCCAGAGAAGGGCTCTGACTGGCCTAGTCTGAGTCAGGTGTTCATTTCAGCTTTGATGTATAAGGCCAATAAGGCCATATTGTTTCCCATTCAAAACACAAGCTTGGACTCGGGGAGGGCTCAAGTGTTTCACTAAAAACTAACAATTCTTCCCTCAGAGAAGAAGTGGACCCTGAGTAGCAATAGATGATCACTGTATTTTTTGCTACATAGGTATGAAAGAGTCCATTGTTTAATAGGTCCCTATTCTTATTGCCTGGATAAAAAGAACTAACATGTAGAGAATGGCCCAAGAAAGACATCTTTCTCCATGTTTTCATACTTCAAAATTCTCTATTCTGCTCTCCATTTCTAACTCACTCACACTTGCACACACTCATACACACACACTTATGCAGTAATAAATTCAATGATGAATTCTAAAGTTTTCAGTATTCTAAATCCTTATCTGTCTACCTTATTTCTGTCTACCTTATTTCACTTATATTTTAATTAAAGGTATTGATTAATTTAATTTAACATTCTCTGTCAAAGTTAACTACAAATTTTGACAGAGAATGCTTCTCATTTTCTGTTTAAAAAGTATCTTGAGAAGGATAGTTTTTATAAGCTTCCATCTTTTTATTCTTGTTGAGGTGTAATTGATACATAACATGGCATAAGTTTAAAATGTACAATGTTGTATACATATATAGTAAAATGATTACCACAATAAGGTTACTTAACACATCCATCAACTCATATAGTTATCATTATTTTGCATATTTGATGAGAACTTTTGGGACTATCCTGTTAGCTACTTTCAAGCATACAATAGAGCATTGTTAACTATAGTCACCATGACATGCATTACATCCCCAGAATTTTTTCATTTATAACTAGAAGATTGTACACTTAGACTAGCCTCACACATTTTCCCCACTCCCCCCCTGCACTTGGCAATCAACAGTCTACTTTCTGTTCTATGGGTTTGGATTTTTTTTTTTTTTTTGTAGATTTCACATATAAGGGAGATCATACATTGTATAGTCTTGTCTCCTTTGTCATAGATTGGTTGCCCATGTGTGTGAGTTTATTTCCAAGCTTTCGATTCTGTTTCATTGTTCTGTGTGTCATTAAAAATTATTTATTTATTTATTTATTTTTGATTGTGATGGATGGATCTTCATTACTGTGTGGGCTCTGGTTGCAACAAGCAGGGGCTACTATTGAGTTGTGGTGTTTGGACTTAACATTGAAGTGATGTCTCTTTTTGCAGTGCACAGGCTTTAGGGCATGTGGGCTTCAGTAGTTGAGGCACTTGGACATAGCAGTTGTGGTTCCCAGGCTCTAGAGTACATCAGTAGTTGTGGTGCATAGGCTTAGTTGCTCTGTGGCATGTGGGATCATCCTAGATCAGGGATAGAACCCATATCTTCTGCATTGGAAGGCAGATTCTTTACCATGGAGATACCAGAGCCCCTGTTATGTGTCTTTTTAAATGCCAGTACCATACTCTTTCAGTTACTATAGCTTTGTAGTATATTTGAAGTCAAGAAGTGTGATGACTCCATCTTTGATCTTCTTTTTCAATATTACTTTGGCTATTTAGGGTCTTTTATGGTTCCATATTGGAGAAGGCAATGGCAACCCACTCCAGTACTCTTGCCTGGAGAATCCCATGGGTGAAGGAGCCTGGTGGGCTGCCGTCTATGGGGTCACACAGAGTTGGACACGACTGAAGTGACTTAGCAGTAGCAGCAGCATTGGTTCCATATGAATTTTAGAATTTTTTTTTTCTATTTTTATAAAAAATAAACTTTGGACTCTTGTTAAGGATTGCATTGAATCTATAGATGGCTTGGAGTAGTATGGACATTTCAATAATATATATTCTTTCAAATCATGAACACAAGATATCTTTCTATTTATCTGTGTCCTCTGTCTTCTTCAAATTCTTTCATCAATGTCTTAGCATTTGCAGTGTAGAGATCTTTCACCTCTGTGGTGAAATTTATTTTTAATTATTTTTATCATTTTTGCTTTTACTATAAATGAAATTATTTTCTTCTTTCTCTAGTTCATTGTTAGTGTATATAAATACAGTAGAATTTTGTGTGTTGATTTTGTATTCTGCCACTTTACTAAATTCCTTTATCAGTTATAATAGTTAATTGGTAGAGTCTTTAGGGTTTTCTATTTATAAAGTCATATCATCTGGAAATACAGATATTTTTACTTCTTCCTTTCTGATTTGGATTTTTTATTTTCCTTTTTCTTTCCTGATTTCTCTGGCTAGGACTTCCAGGATTGTGTTGAAAAGAGCGCTAAGAATAATCATACTGGCCTTTTTCCTTATCTTAGAGGAAAATCTTTCAAGTTTTCACCATTGTATGTGATATTAGACTGACAAAAATTGTTTTAGAAGAATGAGTTGCATTGGAAAGTGCTGGACAAATGCTATTTTATGCAAGAAGTCTCTTCGAAGATGATCAGATGGAAACTCAAAAGGTAAGAAGAAAAAGAAAACACAATTTTCAGTGTGCTGCTTCTGAATCTCTTGTGAGATTTTTCTTGAATAATACATAATTTAAACTCTAATTTGAATGTTTTTGGAATTTCATAGTTAATTCAATTAAATATATTAAGCCCAAGACGATGCTCATATGTTTGACTGTGTATCCATCATACAGTTTTCTTTTTAAGAATCTCATAATCCTACTTAAGATCTTCTGAATCACTATTCACTATTTTACAATATATTCCACATATTCCCTCCCAACATTTTTATTAACAATTTTCATTGTCTTCATTAGTTCCCCTTTATTTAAACTTTTTGTCTTCATTCTTTTCTAAAGACATTTTAAAATGAGCTCAGTATATCAGCCTCCTTAGTGTAATAATTAATTCTTTGCTTCCTCTCATTTATTAGTTGTCCTATTTTCTCTTCTGTTTCTGTCTTGCCCTGATATATCTGTTACACACTTTTTAATTCTTTTTCTTCTCATAATGTATCAAGTCAATATTTTTATTTGCTTATTTCTATTTGATTTTTTTTGCTCTTCTATTTGTAAATATCCAAGAGAAGGGGACAACAGAGGATGAGATGACTGGATGGCATCACCGACTCGATGGACATGAGTTTGGGTAAACTCTCGGAGTTGGTATGGACAGGGAGGCCTGGCATGCTGAGATTCATGGAGTTGCACAGAGTTGGACAGGACTGAGCGACTGAACTGGCTGACTGACTGATCCTTTGTTCGAAGGGGGTGAATGAAAATATATGGTAAAACTTACTATGATATTCTAATTTCTCTTGGTTTCTCTGTATTTTTTTCACAGTGTTTAATTTCTCCTATTATAAAAGTGGTGCTTGGATCCTTTTATTTTGTGGTTTTTCTCGTAGGATGCCAGTTAACCCTATCTATAACTACAGAAAATCATTGCTATGTACAAGACTGATTGATATACTAGGAAAGATTGAGTTTTAATTAAAGATAGTATTGCTGGATTGTTTTTGTTTATTTTTTGCTTTTTTTCCCTAAGTGAATCTGTCCCCTTTCCCTGCTCCAATACACAACTTTGTTCTTAACTTGTTGGGGTCTTAATTTAATATCGGAAGATTTATTTTAGATTATAAGACATATATTCAAATATTCACAGTAATTCTAATAAATGACAAAGTACTGTGAAAAGGAGTTTTATATTAGATCTTCTGTGGATCATTTTAATTTAGCTCATGCATTCTAGGTTTACAAATCTTTACACTAATGGAAATTTGTTCTTGTGAAGGAAATCATGAGTTCTTATGAAAATCTAGATGACACTAGGGGGCAGCATGATATCTAGAAAGGGAATGGAGTGTGGCTTCAAGGAGCCTGGGTTCTAGTCTCAAATTATCGACAACAGAGAATAACTCTCTGAACTTTTTTTTCTTTTTTTTTCCTCCACCTATAAAATTAGAAGTATTGACCACATAATCCAAAGGCGCCTTTCAAACTCTCATCATCTCTGTTTAATTTGCCATTTTTATAGTTTATGCCAGGGTAAGAATTAAAGCCAAGCAAATTCACGTTAGTTGGATTTACATTAAACCAATATGTCCCTTCTATCACTAGTTTTCATCCTTTATAATCCATATATTGGGAGGAACTCCATACAGCAAAATCCTCCCCTTTAAAAGTCATATTGTAACTTACGGACAGTAAGCTGACTGTGAACCAAGGAGGATTCAGAGAAATGGCCCAGTTCCAATTGCAATACTAGGTGGCTACCTAGAACAACCTTGAAAAGACTCTACTTCAGCAATGCCTCAGCTGTGAACTGTGCTGAGAGAGCCATCGTGCACTCTTCGTTCTCCAAGGGGTTTGCAAGCTGTTGGCAGGTACACAGGGCACGGTCAAAAAAGAGAAACCCATGGGAGACCCTATCATTGTTAGTACAGTCAACAGAAGCAGCTGATGGTGCTGACAGAAAGCGATAAAAGCCACGGTTGGGAACCACTGACTGGAACTTCTTCGGGGAACTCTCTTTAATCAGGATTTTTAGACTGAGTGTTGTACTAGGGAGGACCTTTCAAAGTCTCTGGTCTGCTCCACCATTCAAATACCTCCCTTTCATGTGGACAGTACTTTGCTGAGAAGAGCAACTCTATTTGATTTCCAACACAGAGGTGGTGACTATATTCTCTATCTTGTGGACTCATAAGCACTGATTAGAAGTGATTGAATCAGGGATTGACCATTAAGTCAGTGAGAGTCAATCTTTAAGAATGGCCAGGAGGAGGCTTGAAATTTAGTCATCTTCAAGAAGAGGTATTATTAATTGGCCAATAAAAGTCTATTTCTTTGTAATTTGAACTAGAGATATGGGGAAAACATCAACATGTTAGTAGAAGAAACAGGAGCTAAAAGACCTATAAAGAAAGGCAACATGCTTTTTCTGTTGGAAAAAGAGTCTCCCCCCCTCCCCCCCAAAATATGCTGGAAGGTAGAAGAGCTATATAGGATATATAGCTATATATATAGGATATATCCTTAAGCTATACTTAAGGATAATTTCCCAAGTAGGATATTATGTTAATTTAGAAAATGAGTAAAAACGAAGTATTTGGTTGGCCAAAGTAGAATATTAAGTTAGAAAAATGAGTAAAAGTGAAGTATTTTGTTGGTAGGTGCAGAAGAAAAGAGAGAGATCACCTGAGAAACTACACTGTGAATCAATACCACCATTGGGAAGCCAGTGCAGTAATACTGTTATTAGCTCAACATTGGATTCTTCTACTATTGAAAATATGTTCTGATTTCAGAGATAACTAACTACATAACTTTTTCCTACATTCTTATGAAGACTGATCACATGGCTAAGATTCTTATTTCATTACTAAGTCTCATGTACTTCCTTGATATAAATTTCCTATTAATTGAGGTAACAATACTGTACTATGTAGCATGACTATAAGCTGAATTGGTGCAAAAAGCCAGTTATAAAAAGTCATATGAGGTAATCAGAATTCAATCAGATTACATTTTAAATGTAGTTGGAATTATACGATGCTGATAATTTGAAATTGTGCAGAATTCTGTCAAATTTGAAAAGTCTTTAAGCTTTTAGATATAAGGAGAAAAATAGATGCAGAATCCAATCAAATATTTAACCTGGTGTGCCGGTAATCAATTATTTTCTTTCAGCTCCAATGCATCTCTTTCCCATGGTTTGTGATAATAAAACTGAACCCTGTTAACGTATTTGTTTTCAGTTCAGTCGCTCAATTGTGTCCGACTCTTTGCGACCCCATGAATTGCAGCACGCCAGGCCTCCCTGTCCATCACCAACTCCGGGAGTTTACACAAACTCATGTCCATCGAGTCGGTGATGCCATCCAGCTATCTCATTTTCTGTCGTCCCCTTCTCCTCCCACCTCCAATCCCTCCCAGCATCAGGGTCTTTTCCAATGAGTCAACTCTTCACATGAGGTGGCCAAAGTATTGGAGTTTCAGCTTCAGCATCAGTCCTTCCAATGAACACCCAGGACTGATCTCCTTT